CCCCCAGATGCTCGGGCCCGGGTGTCCCCAAGTCAGCTGCTGCTGAAACTGACCAGCGGCTGAATCCAGGAAGCTGGGGCAGAGCAGCTGGGGACAGCGGGGGTGCTGCTGGGTTAGTCCCGCAGCCCCGAGGGGCAGCGCTACTGGACCTACCTGGCAGCACTCCAGCTGTTCTGCCCCCTGCTTCCCGGATTCAGCGCTGGTCAGTTTTAGCAGCGGCTGAATTGGGGAAGCTGGGGGCAGAGCAGCTCCAATGGTCCGGCTGCCCGGAGCACTTCTCAGAGCAGCTGGGGACAGCGGGGGTGCTGCTGGGTTAGTCCCGCAGCCCCGAGGGGCAGCGCTACTGGACCTACCTGGCAGCACTCCAGCTGTTCTGCCCCCTGCTTCCCGGATTCAGCGCTGGTCAGTTTTAGCAGCGGCTGAATTGGGGAAGCTGGGGGCAGAGCAGCTCCAATGGTCCGGCTGCCCGGAGCACTTCTGGGTTCCTGATGGTGCCGGACCATCAGGAGTGCCGGACTGTCAGATGCCGGACCATCGGAGTTTTACTGTAGAAGCCTAAAACTGCTCAATCACTGAATTAACTCAAGTGGTAAAGGTCTGTGCTGTATACCTAAAGGTCCCAGCTTTTCTGGTGACCTATGACCCATCAATTTGTTTCTATATGATGACATTTCTAGTTTTTCAGGTTCCTCTTAAATTTAGGAGATAACATTTATGAACATTTACATTTAAAGAACATTAAGGCTGCAAAATTGAGCATGCAAGACATAGGAAATGCCAGAATTAAGGCTGCCCCCAGTACATATGCATTATGGTACAGTCATTACTTACATGATTACATGCTAGTTTTTGCATGAGAAATTTTTGCACTTCCTAACTTCTGAGTTCTTGATTTGTAATTATAATGCTTTTTTAACATGTTTTTTCATGTAATACAATGGAATGAGAAAGTGATTGGATATAGGCTGACTGATAACATAAGTCTTGTGACTGATTGCTAAGCAAATGTTTTATCAATATTTTAGAACTAAACAAACATAGGGGAATGATGGAGAAGATATCTGACTTAATTTTGAATGACATACCAAGAGCTGAGTAAGTATGGCTGCAATTATTTGAACTAAAAAAAAAAAGAAAAAATCCAAGAGAAATTGTCTGTCTGGAGAAGAATTTCAGTAAGACTCAGATGATAGTAGTGCTACTGCACATGCTATTAGCCAGGATGGGCATGGCCAGAGGTGAAAATTGGGCAGGGAACCCCAGTGTACCACTCCAGTAAGAAAGGGGACGGCATGACTGGGAGTGTTCTGCAACAAGTGGTGGTGTGGCATGCATTCCATCGGCTTCTGGGGCTTTCATTCTTGTCCCTCTAGGTCACGTTAAGCAGCTCACATGTGGGCTCTGGTGGGACCCAGTCTGTTCATGTCCCAGTCTGTTCTGCTGCCCTTCTCACCATGATTTGATGATGAGATGAAAACATTTTGGCATTATAAAGGAAAAGGTATCATTACTATTGTGATAGACAGTTCAAATAGGGTCCCTTTGAAGATTAAATTTATCTCATTGAGTACACATGGTTCATAATCATAATTTTGGAGCCTGTTTATTCAAAAAAACCATGTAAACTGTATATTCATTCAGGGTATTTCTACACTACATGCCTCTGTCAACAGAGCCATGTGGATGAGCTTTGTAGACATAGCAAAATGAAGTGGCAATTTAAATAATCGCGCTTCATTTATATCAAAATGGCTGCTGCGCTGTGCCTATCAGCTGTTTGTCGGCTCAGCGTGGTAATCTGGATGCTCGACGGTCGACATCAAAAGCCTTTGTCGACCGCCTTGGTAAACCTCATCCCATGAGGCATAATGGGGCAGTTGACAAAGGCTTTTGATGTTGACCGCCGAGCGTCCAGACTACCGTGCTGAGCCGACAAACAGCTGATAGGCACAGCGCAGCAGCCATTTTGATATAAATGAAGCGCGATTATTTAAATTGCCACTTCATTTTGCTATGTCTACGAAGCTCATCTACATGGCTCCATCAACGGAACCGTGTAGTGTAAGCATACCCTCAGATCCTGTATTTTCATATGAAATAGGCATCTTTACTTTCAGTTATGTTTTTGGAATGAAACTGTACTTGTTTTTCCAGCAAATATTGGCTAGGTGTAAGTGGTTTATGTGATTCGCTTTGCTAAGTTATATTCCACACTCTTTATCTATTTACTTTTATGTGACTCACACAGTTGGAAATCTCCTGGAAAATTCCTAGGGCTGATACTGACATTTTCTGCTCATCACAATTGCATAAGCTTCATAGAAAATTCATAACATAGGCTATGTCTACACTACAAAAGTCTGAAAAAGATATGCAAATTGTGAACCGAAATTTGTGTATCTTTTTCCGCTTTTCTTCCAAAAGAGGCTTTTCCAACATTTTGCCCATCTACACGGGCCCAAATGTTGGAAAAAAACCCTCTTTCAGAACATCCCTTCTTCCTCATAAAATGAGATTTACAGGGATGCCGAAAAAACATGTCTGCTTTTTCAAAAAATTTTTTGGAAAGCCAGATGCGTTCCTTGGACGTGGCAGAGCTTTTCCGGGATGCCTCTGGTATCCTGGAAAAGCTCTGCAGTCTAGACGTACTATATACACATTCCTTATAGCAGCCAATAAAGATGTTGTTGTAAATATAATTGGAAATAACATGGCAACAGTTTTTCACTGAGTTACTGATCTTTCTTTTTCTCATAGGCTGGGTCTACTCTGGGCCACTTATTCCGGAAAATCAGCCGCTTTTCCGGAATAAGCTGCGAGCTGTCTACACTGGCCCTTGAATTTCCGGAAAGCAACGACGCTATTCCGGAAAAGCTACGCTGCTCCCGCTCGGGCATAAGTCCTTATTCCGGAACACTGTTCCGGAAAAGGGCCAGTGTAGACATCCCAGTAGTCTTTTCCGGAAAAAAGCCCCGATCGCGAAAATGACGATCAGTAGTCTTTTCCGGAAAAGTGCGTCTACATTGGCCACAGATGCTTTTCCGGAAAAAGGGCTTTTCCGGAAAAGCAGCCTGCCAACGTAGACGCTCTTTTTCCGGAAATACTTATAACGAAAACTATTCTGTTTTAAGCATTTCCGGAAATTCATGCCAGTATAGACACAGCCATAGAGAACTGGATCACTAAGTTTGTTAGTAGTCTTTTCCGGAAAAGTGCGTCTACATTGGCCACAGATGCTTTTCCGGAAAAAGGGCTTTTCCGGAAAAGCAGCCTGCCAACGTAGACGCTCTTTTTCCGGAAATACTTATAACGAAAACTATTCTGTTTTAAGCATTTCCGGAAATTCATGCCAGTATAGACACAGCCATAGAGAACTGGATCACTAAGTTTGTTTAAGTTTTTTTTTTTAACTGATCTTTTTTACATTTACTCAAGCACATAGTGTTGGTTCCATTAATTGTTGTTAAATTGTACTGTTTTGTTGCCATATGTATTCTTTGTTCCAGGTATGTCAGCTTACTCAATGATTATGTTGAGTCTGAGTTTTTTTTGATTGACGGAGATTCATTGTTCATCACTTGCATAAGTGAACAGACATTACTGCCAGGACAGAACCTGCACTTCTTTTACCTGGTAGAACGCTTTCTAAAGGATTTAACATCAAAAGGAGCAAAATATGTTATTGTTTTCTTCAAGGTAACAAATGTATACATTTTGCAATGAAATAGTTGAATTTCTTCACTAGAGAAAACTGTTAATTCATAATACATTAAGTATTTTTTAACCAATAAGACATTTAAAGGCTAAGTTCAGAACTTTAGCTAGTATCTCCCCTTCTTTCTTTTGTACAGCTTAGATTTTATTATGAAGCTAGAAAAATTACAGTATTGTAAAATTAAAGCTTATATATCATATTGACTTGCTCACATAGGCCCTAGCAATTTGCCTCCTGCCCCCAAAATATTATAAAATCATGCGTACATAATAGTATCAGATTAGATTAAGGTACCCTTCCAACTCTGAATCTGTAATTCATTTCTTTAATATCAGTATGGAAATTGATGAACGTCATATCCTCTTTTTCTTGCATCCATGCAAAGAAATTAAAAGCTTCAACTAGTCTAATTTTACTTAAATATCGTATATCCGTTTATGCGATAGAGCAAGCACAATTCTAAAGTAAATTAAAAGGGATATTTAAAAGAGATAAATTAAATTAAAATATTGATCTAGAATGGCCACTGGCTAATACTGCATGGCAAGTTCTATGTTTTTAAACCTAATTTATGTACATTTTGGGATTATGTTGAGTCTCTACCTATGTATTGGTGTTGTATTAATGTTAATAAAGACAAAGGATCCAATTCTTGAATCTGAGAAGTGGTTTCCACTATTTTCCCTGATGTAAAGCAGATTTAAGATCTATCATTCAGGCTGGTGGAGGATTTCCCAAGCATGGGGTTGCTCTAGTATAGAGGCTCTCAATCTTTCAAGTCTACTGCATCCCTTTGAGGAGTCTGATTTGCCCTAAGTTTCATTTTACTTAAAAACTACTTGATTACAGACAAAGATATAAAAATCAGACATAAAAATTCAAAAGTGTCACAATGCACTATTATTGAAAAATTGCTGACTTTCTCGTTTCTACCATATAAAATACATCAATCGGAATATAAATATTGTACTTACATATGATTGTACAATATATTGAGAAGCAAAAATGAGTAACTGAATGAAATTTTAGTTTGTACTGACTTTGCTAGTCATTTTTATGTAGCCTGTTGTAAAACTAGGCAGATATATAGGTGAAAATATCCTGTCTGAAAACCACTCCTCTTGTGGCCCCTATTCTAGCATCTACATCTGACCTATTGTGCAGGGAGTGTGTGATCAAGCAGTCCTTACACTCCAGTGATTCCCAGAACAACTCTGGCATGTGTGGTTCCAGTTTGAGGAACTGGCCCAAAAGATTTACACATAAAGCCTCAGTTGTACCAGTTGCTCACTTGGCACGGCCAAGAATCTGGCCCACAAGCTATTTCTTTGACTCTGTACGTCAGCAGACTCTTTAAATGTCTCCTTATGTTGTCTAATTATGATCTGACCTTGCCAATGCTTATTCACCCAAGCAGCCTTCCTGACATATACAGCTCTCAGTGGCAATGCTGTAAATCCAGAGTAACTACATAGCTGTACTTAAATGAATGAAGATTCTATGAATTTACACCAATGTAAGTGAGGGCATGACTGATCCAATAAGACTATCTGAGTAGCTACAGGATTAAGCTATCAATTTAAATTATTTGTAAGTTATTATTAAAGTTATATAATGTAAAGTGTTATTTTCAGGTCTTGTTAATTCAAAATAATAGCTTCAAAGCAGATACTATGAAGATGTACTTGCAAAGTACGTCATTACTAAGAATGAATATGTTTATTCTCTAGTTACAGCTAATTGAAATTGTTAATCTCTATAAAACATAACAGAATTTAACTTCATTTTTTTGCAGGATGCAGAACATACATATTTCGGGCATCCCACTCTCTTGTCTCTACGTACTTCATTGATTCTCCATCTTCAGCACAATACTGACGCTGTCATTCACACTGAATTTTCCAACTTTTTAGAAAAGAAGTGGCAAGATTTCTTGGAAGAATGCTACCCTTATTTTATAATAATCTCTGATGATGGACTGACTGAACTACAGACAGGCTTTCTCAATTTCTTTATCATTCATGCCTTGTCAAAAAGAATCAATGTTGTCCTTACTTCTGGACAAGAATCAGATGTTATCAGAGTTTATGGATATCATATCCATGGCTTACACAAGCACAAGGAATTTTTCTCTCAGGTAAACAATAAATGAAAACTTTACTGATATTTAACAGAGAAATGTAATATTTAAGAGATGTAGTAGATCTTGCCTGAAAATGACTGAGACCTAATGACTTGTTTATATTAAAACAATATAATGAAAACATGATTTAGAGATAGACTGTAAACTCTGGGAGAGAGACTAAGTTGAGCTTGCACACAGAGCATGGCATTAAATAAATATCAGAGGAGAAATGACTGTTTTGAAAGACCTAAAAAAGTCATAATATTCAAATAGCATGTACATTAAAAAATAAAATGGCTGAATTTACAAAATAAACTTGATTTTAAAAAATAACCAATATATATATATATATATATTTAAGCATCAAGTAGAAATTCAGCATGCTTTCCAAAGACTGGTTAAAGATTTGGAGGAATCCAGTACAGCAGCATTACTTTCTCTAACTGGACATTCAAGCATGAAGGATATGGAAAAAGAGGTATTTCATTTTATTACTTTAGTCAAAAATTTGAAAGAATTTGTACCAAAATCCTCCATTAGTTTTAGTTTGTAATGAAGACATATAATTTTGGAAAACATCCTAGCAGCATTATAATTTGAAAAAAAAGGTGAAAAATTGAAAACTAAAAATCCACTGTGAGAGTTCCACTTTAAAAATTTAAACAGTAAGGTATAAAAATGCACATAGTTATATTCAGCAATAGTTCTAAGTAGATCCCCTTATTAGCTTCAAAATTAAATGTATTTTATACCTTCAAATTTGTCCTATTCTAAAATTATAATATGCTATATTAGTACAATAGTTGTAATACAATATGTTGTATTGCTTTTATTTTTTTTTAACTAAAAAATCTCAGCTCACCCCAGCATCCCCAGTTGACTGTAGGCTCCATGCAGTGCTGCCATTTTGAAATACCACGGGGAGCACAAGGCCAGAGGGGAACTGCTCGAGTCCCCTGCTAGCCCCGTGCTCCCCACAGTGCTTTCACCTTTGAAGTTTAGTGATAGTCCTGTGGCTGTTGCTACACTTCAAAGGTGGAGGCACCCTTATCGAATAATTGTATAGTCGATGCAAATTGCATCAACTATTTGATTAGCCAATTAGCCCTTAGTTGGGATGTGTAATTTGTATAATATCGCTCTCAATACTGCAAGATGTTGGCAAATCATCCTTCACCTCTACAGGGAGGTATCATTGTCATTTCTTTAGGCCTCCAACTAAATATTTCACTCGTGATTTTGTCTCTTGTTGGCTTCTTTTGCCTGTTATATTTTTAAAAGAGAAAAAAACCTCTTCTTCTAAAATCCTCTTCAAATTTTTAATTATATATTTCATAATACCAGGTTTCTAACATGTTATCCCAGCTCAAGTATGATTGTCCAGAAGTATCTGATATTCGACACATTGTCTGCATTGTCACATGTGCACTGGATTTGAGAATGTGCAGTAGGTTACAAAAGAAACACCGGGATACCATATCAAAAGAGGTAGGATTTCAGATAGCACAAACTTTTGCTTTTTTTCCTTTTCCTTACCTCACATTGACAGAGGTAAGCATTTTCCCTATGGCATATGTTCCCTGTGCTATAATATAAACTATTGTTACAAAATATTTCTACATAAAAGCCTGTAGTAGAACACAAATCATTTCCAGAAAACAGCAACTGACATACATAGTAATAAATATCACTGGGGGTATTTCAAATACAGAACTAGAAAGTTTTGCTCTATGCAGGATGTGGAGGTCTGCACCATTACATATACCTTTTAAAAGATTTAATGGAATGAACAAATGTACTAAATGTTACCAAATCTCACAATTTTATCATGACTCTCGCAATATATGGTTTTTCACTTAAAGTCCCAACTTTTGAAGTTAAGTGTTTACAAGAGCTTCCTTTCAATGCAAAGTGAATTTCTAACCCTTATGGTTACAAAGAAAAATTTAAACATGAGACCAAAGTGCAGCCTGACGGCTCCAAAACTAGAAAGCAAACAAGAAGAACCCAATATTTACTACAGGCAGTCCCCGGGTTACGTACAAGATAGGGACTGTAGGTTTGTTCTTAAGTTGAATTTGTATGTAAGTCGGAACTGGCTCCAGATTCAGCCGCTGCTGAAACTGATCAGGGGCTGACTACAGGAAGCCCTAAACAGAGTTGCTCTGCCCCCGGCTTCCTGGAATCAGCCGCTGATCAGTTTCAACAGCGGCCGGATCTGGGCTATTCAAAAATTACCTCCACACCAAAAAAACCCATGAGAATGGCTGAAGTTTTTTGAGATTTTTAAATACTACAGGCAGTCCCCTACTTACGCGGATCCGACTTACATCGGATCCACACTTACGAACGGGGCTTTTCTCGCCCCGGAGCTCACGGGCAGCGGGACCGCCCAGAGCGCAGTGGTCCCGCCACCGCATCCTCCAGGGCGAGAAAAGCTGCTCCGGGTCTCCCTGGTGTGCTAGGGGGGACTCCCCAGCACAGCAGGGAGACCCAAGCAAAGCCGCACAGGCGGCGGACCCCGCTGCCCGTGCAGCTTTGCTCCTTTGCCCCGGAGCAAAGCCACACAGGCGGCGGGGTCCCCCGCCTCTGCGGCTTTGCTCCGGGGCAAAGGAGCAAAGCTGCACGGGCAGCGGGGTCCGCCGCCTGTGCGGCTTTGCTTGGGTCTCCCTGCTGTGCTGGGGAGTCCCCCCTAGCACACCAGGGAGACCCGGAGCAGCTTTTCTCGCCCTGGAGGATGCGGTGGCGGGACCACTGCGCTCTGGGCGGTCCCGCTGCCCGTGAGCTCCGGGGCGAGAAAAGCCCCGTTCGTAAGTGTGGATCCGATGTAAGTCGGATCCGCGTAAGTCGGGGACTGCCTGTAGTATTTAAAAATCTCAAAAAACTTCAGCCATTCTCATGGGTTTTTTTGGTGTGGAGGTAATTTTTGAATATTTGGGTTAATAGTACTATTACCCAGAACACTATATATCACAGACCATTCATGGCAACCTTAACTGTACTCCAGTGTGTACATCTGGGGTAAGAGGTTCTGAATGTCTGACATTCTCATAGGGGCAGAGTTAAGGTAATGATGTGTAATTTATTGTATGTACTAGTTATGCAATTGGTGAAGTCATTGTCTTCTGGTACAGGAGTAGGGAGATAGTTTTCTTGATTTTTAATGTTCTTGCTTGTGTGAAGTATGTTATGGGTAGACCCACCTTTACTTACATATAATGTGGTCTTTTACATACCCACCTTTAAGAAGTACCTGCAAGGTTGTTACAAGGAGAGAGAAAAATTCTCCTTAATTTCTGGGAATAAGACAAGAAGCAGTAAGTTTAAATTGCAGTAAGGGAGGTTTAGGTTGGACATTAGGACAAAAATCCTAACTGTCAGGGTGGTTAAGCACCGGAATAAATTGCTTTTGGAGATTGTGGAATCTCTGTCATTGTAGGTTTTTAAGAGCAAGTTAAACAAACACGTGTCAGGGATGGTCTAGATCAGGGGTTCCCAACCTTTTTGGTCTCAGTACCCCCTTTGCTTTTAGTAAACCTTCCCATACCCCCTATTCAATATGAAAGGAAATAAATTCTAGACTCTAGAATCCACAACTTTTTTCACTAACACTACTACTTTTGGAATATTTCAATTAGGATAGTCTAGTTATTTACCACATATTCCCTGTACCCTATTGACAAGCTTCTCGTACCTCCTGGGGGTACACGTACCCCAAGTTGGGAACCCCTGGTCTAGATGGTGCTTAGTTGTGTTGTCAGTGCAGGGGACTGGACTTGATGACCTCTTAAGGTTCATTCCAGTACTATGATTCTGTGATTCTGTGATTCTGTGTATTGTCCAAAGCTATAGAGGTGGCCTTGAATTTTGCACTTACTTTTTTTCAGACACAAATAATTAGATACAGTGTTGTAAAAGCAAAATAATTGGGGATTAACCTCATTCATGAGTGTAGCTACTTGATCATGCCTATAGCTGAAGTCAGAATGAATGCATTCACAAAATCAGCTAGTCTAAAAGAGCAATTCTACACGTTTGTAATTATGTCTGTCAAATAGCAGATGCAAAATGGAAGATCAGACTGAAGTGCTTTTCAAAATATGATTTGCAAAATAGGTTGCATGTAGGCATGATACTTTTTTATTTGTATTTATACAGGAGAAGAGTAGGGAAACACCACCAAAAGAAGCAGAAGACCTAATCAGGATGTATTGCCTCAGTGTGGCTTTTCTTTTCCATGTACCTCTTTCACAACGAGCTCGGGTTAGATTAATCAGTAACCACTGGAGTAAACAAGCTTCCACATTTATACAAATGGTAGGCATTGCATTTTTCATTATTTGTACTTTTAGCTCTTAAATATTAACAAAAGACACAAGGAGTGGGATTCTTGAAGGGACTTACGTCTGAATGTCACAAAGCTTAACTTTTAGGTGCCTAGAAAGCACAGAAACACCACCGAGATCCATAAAGCTGAGTTATGTATTAGAATTCCAGTACCATAAATGGAGGGAGATAGGAGTTTAAGAATGTGATCCACAAAAGCCAACATGCTAGGTAAGGAGACATGATAGATGTGGATGAGAGTTGTGTATGCTAAGACCTGCCCCTCTGTCAAAGATCCGTACCTACGTCCAGGCTGCAGGGAAGTACCCATCTTTGTTTACTGATCCCTGAAAGGAAAACTGCTGTTTGGAATCAGGCAACTTAGGTGCCTCAGCCATTTATTGAGGAACTGAATTAGGAGCCTATGTCAAGCCACACAAAATGGTGGAAGGGAGTAAGAGGACACCTTATAATTTTCAACCAAGGAATGAGAACACTTTCCTAGGATGTGGGAGACACAGGTTCAGTTCTCCCCATGCTGCCAAGTGCAGATAAAGGCTTTGAACTAGGATTTCCCACTACTCGTGTAAGTGCTCTAACCCCTGATTCATGGGTTATTTGGAGGAGCCCTTCCTCATTCTCTCCTGTTGAAGCTGTTCCATGATGGACAAATAATTTAAGAGTGATTGAAGCAGAGAGAGTGATCCCAGAGTCTCTCACCCTCCAAGTGGGGGTTTCTTTCCTAATGTTCTGCTTTATACTTACTTTTCGTATAAGCAGACTAAGTACATGGATTTGTTTAACAGCTATTCAGACCTAGGTACGGGGGTGTCCACCAAAAATTTAATTCTGCCTGGGTTGGAGGGGAGGGGTGTGTCCAGCGGCCATGAAATGCTGTGGAGGATTCCAGGGGCTGTTTTAAAAACTTCCCCCAGGCTCCCCTGCAGCATGGGTGGACACTTCTGGTTCGTTTCCTGAGTGGGAGGGAAGGGAACCCCCTGAATCTCTTTCCTGCATGGGGGAGGACATAGCGGGCCAGCTTCGCCCAGACTCTTCACAGGGTGGCCACATGCTTCCAGCAGTGCCGCTTTAACATTTAAGGTGTGTGGGGAAGGGAGGAATCCCTTGCAGGAGTGGGATGGAAGGCAAACTCCCACCCAGACACTTCCCTGCATAGGGTGTCTTTAGGGATGAAGGGGTGGCCACAACTGGGCAAGGAAAAGCAAATTCAACCATCACACTAAAATTTGAAATAAAAAAAAAAGAACATCACACCATGTCAAGAGGGGTTTTTAATTGGATTTTTCTACATGTGTGTGGTTTTTTTTTTTTTGCTTCTCACTTCTGTGTAGCCCCCAACTGATATCTCTGTGGGTTAGTGGCACCTGACCCAAAAGGTTCCCTCCCCCTGATTCAGACCTTTATGATCATAAAAAAATTAATGATGGGTAATTTAAGAAAAAGGACAAACTTAAAAAACAATGAATATTTTAGCAGCATCTTAAAGACTAACAAAACATGTAGATGGTATCATGAGCTTACATGGGTACAAAAAGTGCATTTCTCATCTGAAACTGGAGCCAAAGTCTTCAGGCGAGACCCCAAAAAGGTTTTCCTTGCTTTGAGTACCTGACACAGATGGTAATTTTATGTATTCATCCTATTTACTTTTTTACCTTTTAGCATAAAGTTTGTGAATTTTTTCTTCTAAAACACTTGACAACTGAAAATCTACGGAAAGTGGGTTTCACTCACTTGCCTGATTTAAGTGATGATCTTTTGTGGAAGAATGTTGCATATTACTATGAAGTAGAAAATAAGCAAGGTACTACATTCATATTTGGTTCTTCACATATTTGTTTTTCAACATAATCTAATTTTTAATCTAACAATAAAACAGTTCATGTAATATTACTGTAATTAATATTAGATTATGACATTAGTCATATGCTTCAGAATTCCTCCTTTGCTTCTTCCTCATTCCTGGGGTAGATGAGTACATGGGATAGAAGCTCACTATTGCCTATAACAGCAGTAAATTACTGTTCTTATCCCTATTCCCAGATTTCTCTACTAATTCAGCAACTCCTGCAAGCACATGATGGTTGTAGTCATGATTCCACAATTCCCCTCCCCTTCTTCTATACTCTCTTCCTGCCTGGTTCAGGGAAGGAATAACTGGGCAAGTAGTCCTGCTTGCTTCTAAATGCTTGAACACAAGGCTTGGGAGTGCAAGGCATGTGTGGTGTTATTCTGTAGGGGTACGTTTATACAGCAGTGTTATTTTGGAATAACTAACGTTATTCCGAAATAACATAGTCCATGTCTACACTACAAGCCATTATTTTGACATAATGTCAAAATAAAATTGAGCTGGAGGACTTCTTACTCCAACTCCTGTAATCCTCATTTTATGGGGAGTAAGGGAAGTCAGAGGAAGAGTGCTCTTTCTTGGACTTCTTGCTGTATAGACAGTACCAAAAGCTGAAATAAGCTATTTCAACCTAAGCTACGCAATTGACGTACCTCAAGTTGCGTAACTTATTTCGGCTTTAGTCCTGCTGTGTAGACATGCTCTAACAAACATAACTTTTTTGCCACTTCAATGTTGTGTCTTGTACTGAATTTTCAAAAGTCCTCAATTCTGATACTGCAGTGTGCAAAAAATTAAAGAAATCATGTTTTTAAGAAAATATTTCACTGATACTGCAGTGTACAAAAAATTAAAGAAATCATGTTTTTAAGAAAATATTGTATAGAAAAATATTTGTTTTCGCTCTACATTACTTCTTAGGCTTAAACTTGGATATGGGAGAAAAAATTAAGAAAGAGTATGAGTATATGTGGAGTGTCATATCAAAACTAGCTGGAAATGATGATGGAAACTCTTTGCCTCTGAGGAGAACGTCTACATCTTTTCTTGAAAAGAGAGCTTCACCAGCTAGAGGTACCATAGTAGCAATCTTCAAAAGTTACACTATGTTTTTATTTTAACTCATGATTTTAAAACTGTATTTATTAAGGCTTTGTTCAACTGAAGATATATGGTTCCTCCATGAACAAAACAGTCTGCTTAATCTGGTGACATATTTGGAAGAAATCTTACTGCTTAGTGGAAACAACAATCTTTTAAAATATTGAGTTGACCAAGCTCTTGCATGTATTTAATCAGAGACATAATTGGAACTGGTATGGAGGCTTATATATATATAGCTGGGAAAATACTTAAAAAGTTGATTGGGATTTTAAAATGAAAATTATGACTCTATTCACACCCTTTTGGAGCTCCTGTCTCACAAATGTCAGTCATGTAGACAGTTGTGTCTGTGAAAATGGTGATTTCAAAGAAAGTGAATTCTGAATTAGGAAAGAAATAATCACACAAGAACACTATTTTAAGAGCTAGGCCAATTCAGTTAGTGGGACAAAACCTCATATGACCCTGTATTCAAACAAAATCAACTAACATATCTAATCATCCTGGATATTCACAATGACCTGTCCCTAATTAAATAACTTACATGTTCAGTTCTATATATTCAAGAAAATTGCAGGACGAATGCAAACTCTTCATGAAGAGAAGTAGTAGTAAAATATGTCAAATTGTCTTTAGCTAGTTATTTACTTACTTCGACATTCATTCTGTCAGGAAACTGAAGCTGGAGAAATAGTTCTGAGTGTTTTGCAATTGGGAGACACATTGAGGATCACTGTAGTAAAGCCTTGTCTTCACTGCTAAAAAAAAAGGCATGTATCTTACTTCTGTAGAACAATGCATATTAATCATGTATGGGTTAAACATAGTGAAAATAAAGTACCTTAGTTTACTAGGTGAGAGAAAGGGGAGATGTAGTGCTGACCTCACCTGATCTCTTGCAGTTCTTCCCAGCCCATTTCTATGATTGTATTACTCTAGTTTATGTTCCTATAAAAACTAATGTGACTTGTCTTCACTGTTTCTTCCTTGGGATAGCTCACTCACATTAGTTATCCTGAGGTAAGAAATGCCTTTTTCTTTTTTAAAGCAGTGAAGTTAAGGCCTAAGTAGCACAAAGACACAAGGGCTGCGTCTAGACTGGCATGATTTTCCCCAAAAGCTTTTAACGGAAAAGGTTTTCTGTTAAAAGCATTTGTGGAAAAGAGCGTCTAGATTGGCACAGACGCCTTTGCGCAAAAGCACTTTTTGCAGAAAAGTGTCCGTGCCAATCTAGACATGGTTTTGCGCAAGAAAGCCCCAATCGCCATTTTCACGATCGGGGCTTTTTTGCACAAAACAATACCGCGTTGTCTACACTGCCCCTTTTGCGCAAAAGCATTTGCGCAAGAGGGCTTTTGCCCGAACGGGAGCAGCATAGTATTTCCGCAAGAACACTGACAATCTTACATGAGATCGTCAGCGTTCTTGCGCAAATTCAAGCGGCCAGTGTAGACAGCTGGCAAGTTTTTCCGCAAAAGCAACTGCTTTTGCAGAAAAACTTGCCAGTCTAGACGCAGCCTTGGTGGACAGAAGAAAAAGAAAAACCTAAAAACAACAACTAGTCTAGTAGCCCCTTAAAGACTAACACAAAATGTAGATGGTATCATGAGCTTTCGTGGGCAAAACCCACTTCTTCAGATGACTGGAATATTAGAAGTCCAGATCCAAGAATAAGTAAGGGAAGAGAGTGGGGGGAGGAAGAAGGGAAAAAAGGAGGGGGGAGAGAGACTGTGAGTAAATAGTTCAAATAGTTACAAGAGGCTGATAAGAACAATTAGCACCTCCATTGTTTGGTTGGTTGGTTAAGTCATTAGGATGTGGAAGATAGAGTGCGAGTAAGCTGATGTCCCTGTTCATTCCAGTTGCAAAAGAATTAAATTTGTAAATTAAGTTAAGTTCCAATCCTTCCCTGTGTATTTGGCTTGTGGAATTGGCCTGAAATGACACGGTGACTTGGAGATCCAATAATGAGTATCTGGGCAGATTAAAGTGTTCTCCAACAGGTTTCTGTGTATTGCCTTTTCAGATATCTGATTTGTGTCCATTAATTCTTTCCTGTAGAGACTGTCTAGTTTGGCCAATATACATGGCAATGGGGCATTGTTGGCATTTGATGGCATAGATCACATTAGTGGATGTGCAGTTAAATGAGCCTCTGATTTGGTGGCTGATGTGGTTGGGTCCAGGGATGAAATCGCTAGTGTAGATGTGTGGGCAGAGTTGACACCAGGGCTGATTGCAAGGGTGGGTTCCTGGATGGTTATAATGGAGGTGCATTGCGTAGTTACTGGAAAGAATTTGTTTGAGGTTAGGAGGTTGTCTGTAGGCAAGGATTGGCCTTTCCCCTAAGGTCTCTGAGGGTATGTCTACACTACAGCACTAATTCGAACTAACTTAATTCGAATTAGTTAATTGGAACTAAGCTAATTCAAACTAGTACATCTAGACCTAAAAACTAGTTCGAATTAGCATTTTTCTAATTCGAACTAGCATGTCCACATTGAGTGGACCCTGAACCAGGGTTAAGGATGGCCGGAAGCAGTGCCGGCAGGGCATGAGATTAGGACTTAGAGCGTGGAGCTGCTGCCTCAGGCTAGCCGAGGGCTGTGCTTAAAGGGACCCGACCCCCAACCCGGACAGACAGTTCTCAGGGGTTCCCTGCTCGCTTGTCTAACTCGATGAGGGACAGCAAACAGTCCTGGTTTGGAGTGCCCTGAGTGCCCACACTCGGCACATCACAGCACTCGGCCGTCAGCCTGGCTGCATTTGCCGCAGGCTGCCATCTGGGGAGGGAGGTCAATCGGGGGGCTGCAGGAGAGCTTCACAGACTCAAGGAGCCCACAGACCCACCACAGTCCTCCCCATCGGGTGCTCGTACTCCATTCCTTCCTCACCTCCTTCCACTTACCCCTCTCTAACCCCCCTTCCTGATGTACAAAATAAAGGACACGAGTGGTCAAAAATAGATATTCTTTATTGAACAAAACTCGGGGAGACTGGGAAAAGGAGGTGGGAGAGGGGAAGAGAGGGGGTGGGAGAGGGGAGGGTAACTAAAATGATCAGGGGTTTAGAACAGGTCCCATATGAAGAGAGGCTAAAGAGACTGGGACTTCTCAGCTTAGAAAAGAGGAGACTGAGGGGGTCTATGATAGAGGTCTATAAAAGCATGAGTGGTGTGGAGAGGGTGCATAAAAAAAGTTCTTCATTAGTTCCCATAATAGAAGGACTAGAGGACACCAAATGAAATTAATGGGTAGCAGGCTTCAAACTAATAACAGAAAGTTCTTCTTCACAAAGCAAATAGTCAACTTGTGGAACTCCTTGCTGCAGGAGTCTGTGAAGGCTAGAACTAGAACAGAGTTTAAAGAGAAGTGAGATAAAGTCATGGAGGTTGGGTCCATGGAGTGCTATTAGCCAGGGGGTA